TTTCTCCAGGGTCTGTCTTTCTCATACGAGCAACGCACGAGATATTCTCAGCTCAGATGTGTCAACAACAAAATAGAACTCTCTGGAGCATCCAGGTGAGCGGTGGTGCAGCAGGCAGAGGCAGGATGTAAAAATGCTGCTGCAAAGATCATGTGTTGTAGTTAACACCACATCAACACCAAGCTCCATTGGTGTCTTCTCTGTTTATGGCTCCGCTCTTTTTATCCTGTATTTTTTTGTATTGTTAACATTTGCATCTGTCATGTTTTGGAAACGTCATCAACACACCCACTTACTCGTGGAAAATGCTGAGGATCTCCTGCTGTTTTCTAACATCATCAATGCAGTCGGACATTATCCAGATTTTTTAATTGAAAAACGTGTTTAGAATTAACCCCTTAGATTAAAAAAATAAAATTTTTAAACTAAATTTTTTTAACTCAAGGAGGTCCTGAACACAATGATACAAAAATATTTAGACAACATATTTAACACACACACACACACACACACACACACACACAAGAAAGTCCAGAGACGCTGACTTTTATCTTTGCAGCTCTCGTATTTCTGCAACGTAATGCAGAGTGAAGGAGGGTTTGTTTCTAGTGTAGGGTGGTATCATGTCTACGAGCATTCAGACGCCAAACAACAGTTTAATATTTACTGTAGTACAGTATAAATGCTGATGAATGGGATCTTCTGAACAAAGTAGTCACATAAAGGAAATGTCAGCACCCTCAGTAAAAATCACCTGTTCCCATGGTGCTTAGTGTAAAAGGCTGTTTGAAATCCAGTTTGTGCTGAGGCAGGTCAAAATCTCCCTCTAAGGGGCAGAGATCTGCTCAGCAATGAGCAGCAGCAGGGCAGCAATCTAAATGTGCACATCCTTGCATCTTGAGAAACAGCTGGTTGTGCTGTTTTTTACTTTAATGAGGATTAATAGACTCACATCAAAAGAACGGGCGACCAATGAACAACTGTGTTTCTCTCTGTGAGGAGGCCAGGTGAACAGAGCTGCAGCGCAGCACACGAGCACTGAAGGTCATGGCTTTGTTTGAACAAGACGCACTTCAGTTCAAATGATTTAAAACAGCGTCCAACGTGTTGAGAATAGTTTAATCGCCAGTGAGCACCGCACACACTCAACACTGTCAAACTCGCATCAGGGGGCACCCTCACTGGCGCTGCCCGTCAAACTGTCCTGCAGATCTATGACGGACAAAACCAGATGGCCTCCCAAGTCGCTCATTCAGTCTCTGAGTGTGTGTGTTCTCACTGAATTGAGACGACATCACATCTATGTGTTATTGTGACATGATATCACTTGTAAGATGATTTCATTTCTATTTATATAGACCAAAATGTGGGCTCTACACTCTACAACATGCAATGATTCAATACTGTCATGTGCCTTTTACTTATATTGTCTTATGCTACTCAGATCCTGTAGTAAAGTAAACGCATCAAAACCACAACTCCAAGTTAAACTCCTGTTGTGGGAAACGAATTGTAGTAATTGTTGTCTCAAAAGGAAATGTATAAAACCTGGAAGTATGACTGTTTTAATCAACTGTTCTTTTGAGGGTATATAAGACAAGACATTCTGAAGGACTGACAGAAAGTGCACGTGAAGTCAAGAGATTTGATTCATCACACTGTCTTTGGGGTTAAGTAAACAAATTAAATAAAATAAACAGTTGTAATGAATGCATTCATATTTTTCATTCTACTTCTATATTTTGCATTGCATATGCACTTTATATTTTATATTTCGTATTTAATATATATTTCTTCTGTTTTTCTTTTATATTAGTGAGCACAGTTCTTTGGTCGGGCAGTTGCAAAGTAAGAATTTCATTACCCAATGATAAACCACTGTGTCTGCTATTGTGTATATGACAAATAAACATCTTGAATCTTGAAATCTTGAATCTGTTTACAGCATTGGACAGTTTGTAGCATGATGGAAGGTAAATGAATTGAGGAATTATTATCAGTAATGGTTAAGTGTCTGAGGAGACATATTGTGTATCAAGCTGTCTCGTTGTAGTCATAGTCCAAGATCAGATTAGGAGACACCATTATAAATTATAATCCATCATCATTATCCACTGCCACCATCATGATCCACCATCAGTTGCCTCGATCATGGTCCGCCACTACGATCAGATGCCAGCATGATAAAGGATCCGCCATTGTTATCACGATGTCTGATTCCTCAATCCACCATCATAATCCACTATGTGGCCACAGCCACAGCCCTGGATCTGCGTACGATCAGCTAACAATCAGTGGATTGTATTAACATGCTGACTGTTAATGTATGCCCAGTCTGTAAACATCCTGTGACAGTGAATTGTAAAAGATTATAAAACCAGAAAGTTAATCTTTCATAAGCAAAGCAATATCAAGGAAACTGTCTTATGGCACCTGCTTCTCTTTTTTACATGAGTTGGTTAATGGGGAACATATGCATCAATTAATTAACCAGATACAATTTGTTACAAGAATGTTTATCCGACTTCCGTTTTTTCAGCATTAAATCTTAAAACCACTTAGAATATGTGATGAGCAGGGACCTCGCTGTGTGTGTTGGCGTGTGACAAAAGCAGAAAGGAAACAAACAGGAAAACAGAGACTGGCTCTGACAAACCTTGGCTGATGTTATACATCACATGCAGCCCCTCTGGATAATGTCAGATTATCCAGAGTTCAGTGCATGTCTGAATACAGCTTTAGTGACAACCAATCGTTTCATTTGGTCCGAATGCAATTACCGGTCATGTTTATTACAGTCCTGTGAGGACCACAGACCACGGCTGATTTTCTTCACTTATCTTTGCAGCTCTCGTATTTATGCAACATCACGCAGGGTGAAGAGGGTTTCCTTCCAAGGTGGTATCATGTCTACACGCCTTTGGACCCTAAACAATAGTTTAATATGTATTTGTAAAGAAAAACACAACCACAAATTAATAATGGATAGTTGCCAAAGATGTCACTTAAAACAGATTGTAGGAAAATATATATATGTTCAATATGTGGCTGTGCCAGTTTTTTGGGTGGTGGGACATGTATAATACATGTATTTAAGCAGTTTGAAAACTTGTTTAACAAATTAGACTTGTTTAATGATATTCTGGGCTCTAAAATATGTTTTATATATATATATATATGTATAAAAAACCCTTTCAGAAGCTGTATTTATCATTGACTCATATAAATAAATACCATTGCAGAGACAAAAGGTCCATATCTAGACAAACAAACACATCATAGCAGCTCCCAAATCCAAGATTTGGATTTGGGAGCCTGTATGTTTAAAACACCTACAGGCCTTTGTTCCAGTGTTTCCAGAAACAAGAGGGATATTTTGTGTCACTCTGCCGAGGCTCAGTTGAGGCCACTATGATGACATTTGTCGAATCAGTTAATTGACACGTGCATTTCTGTATGAAAATTCCTCAAGACGACATGGACAGTGGGAACATACAGGCCACACAAAGATCTGACTTGAACGGGTCCTTTTTGAGCGCTCCAGAAAGATTCTAAATGCATAATTAAATGCAAGCTGAGGCTTTTTCATTTTAGCTCTACTGTAACTGCACCACAAGTGTGCCGTGTAGAACGGAGTAAAGTAGGCTCGAAAGAGGGCTTTTTAACATCTGGACACATCTGTGGAATTTACCTACCAACACATTGGCTTGTGCATAGTTTACAAAACTGGCAGTGAGCATCATCACACAAATCATCCCTGATTATGTGACCCAGACACTTGACTTTGTCCAATTTAGCTTTTTATCTTCTTTGGTTTCAGCAGTCATAACCATGCTCTTCCTGGGGTTAAACTTACTATCAAACTGCAGAACCATAGTATTTGGTTGACAGGTCTGTCCCTCACCACACAGTCCTACACACTGGAAAACAACAGGTGACAGTATTCCACCCTGACGGACCCCATTGGAAGGGTGCAGATATCCTCTTAACCCATCTGACTTTGATGTGATACCGAAAGTGCAAGATCCTCATCAGGTACGGTGGAACTCCTCGCTCTGTTCATTTTACAAACAGCTTATCATTTGATGCATCCAAAAACACATATTGTGGTGTTATGTACAATTTCCTTCAGTGCATCTTCAGTGCAGAGCTGCTCTGGTGGCATCGGACATCTGTGGAGTAGTTCGCTGGGGCAGCAGAATTTCACCTGCGGACAGGAAGAGACTGGACAGACTGATTTGGAGGGCCAGCTCAGTCCTGGGATACCTGCTTGACTCAGTGGAGGTGGTGGGACAGAGGAGGATGATGATGACAAAGCTGTCTCCTCTGATGGACAACCAGTCCCACCCCCGGCGGGACACCAGCAGTGGACAGCAACAGACGGGACAGTCTGAAGGTGAGGTATCGCAGGACGTTCCTTCCTGCAGTAGGAGGACTGTACAACCAGCTCTGCTCCACGTTAACACTTTAACTCTCAACTGTGCAATAGTCAATGTGCTACATTCAACGGTTCATGTACAATTCATTCTATGTTTTAATATTCCTAACACTTAAGTATTGCACGTTACTTATTGCTTATGTCTTTTTGACTCTTGCTGCTGTAATACTGCAAATTTCCCCATTGTGAGACTAATAAAGGATTATCTTATCTTATCTCATCATATCTTATCTTATATACACAAATCTGTGCCATGTTTTTTTTTAAAAACCAAATTGATTGAATGGTTATTACATATAATTGAAGTCCAAGAGAAGTTGTTCTAGTACTTTGGAAAGTACCCCAATTTAAAACAACTCTTAACATCATTAATGTCCCTTCATGTGCGACAAGGCGTTAATTAGAGCTTGAGTTCACAGAGAACTTTCTCGGAGCTCTGGATCCACTCATACTCAAAGTGGTTCACAGGCAGGAAAATGATGTCGTCCTGACTCTGAGTTTTCATTTGCACGACGAAGAAGTTAAAACAATATTCTTGCCATCATCAGTCGTGTAAATTTACCCAGCATCACTGTCCTTCTACCATCTGCCTCCGTCATCTTTCTAACCCGTGGATAATGTTAATGGCTCTAGCGACCTTTCCATGGTGTACCTCACCTCTCACACGGTGTCGGCTGGGATGGCTCCAGCTGCAACCTATAAAGGTTTAGTGTTATAGATAATAGTGGATAGTTATCATTGATGAATAAATGTGTAAGCAGCCGTTAGATGTGGAACCAGTGGTGCCAGACAAAGGTCTGTCATTCAAGTTGAATTAAACTTTATGCTGCATTTGTGTTCTGGGATATTTTTTCTGTCATCTTTGCTTTATTTTGTAAATGAGTAGCAGTTTACAGCATGTGGTGAAAAGTGTATATTAATTCTTTTGAGAGGAGAGCAGGCATTTAAAGATGTATTCCTGTCTTATTGGATCATAGAAGGTACATGGTGTTTCACATTGTACATTAAAAATGCTGAGCGTCAAACTGTTATTTAACTGTCGAGAGGGGGAATGTCTCTTTGTTGGAGCAGCTACAGCGTGTCGGAGGATTTGTCTCATTCATATTTCAAATATGTTACAACGCTCCACCTTATTTTCCCTGCCATGGGAAATTATGGCTGAAATATCCTTGTGTAAAACTGATCCATAACTGAAATGGTTGCTTATAGTTTTGATTCTCACTTTATCTGAAGCCTGAACAAGAAAACAAGATGGATTATTTAATGAGCATTTATTCCGATTTGTCAAGCACTACATGTTTTTTTGTCAGTGATTTATGAATGATGATCAGTATTGAATGATCAGATGAATTTATAGATTTTGGAAGAACCTTGTAAAATGCATTCAAACATTATGATGATATTCAGAAGTAACATGTGTCTCTGTTCAAATCTACTGGCAGCCTGCAAAAGAGCACGAAACAGAAAATGAAACCTGCCAGACGCATTCATAGAAGGAAGGAAGAATGAACCCTACAACATGAGACACTGATCACTTAACACTAACAAGGACGCTGTCAGATCTGCATAAATCTATGAAAATAAAGACAGCAATGAAGCGGCTGTAGAAATACATGCTCCACCAACTTTTGTGGATTGGTGGATTTTCTCATTGTCTGTTGCAAAACACAAAAAGTGTCAAAAAATTCTAAGCGGATTTAAGTGTTTTTTTCAAAATGTTCGTTAGCAACTACACAGAAGGTCCTGCTAAATGTGATACGACACATTCAGCAATAGATATTTGCTATAACCTGCAGATATATATTAATAGCAGAGATTTTAAGACTTTAAGAACCACACAGAGTTGTTTGTTTTTGACAGATGGCGTTTATTCTCACCAGGCATCTGACATTAGAATCGCTAGAGTCTGCCACTTGGGACTGGCAACTAAAACTCCAGAGGGGAAGGCCCAAAATGTGGAACAAGGACAGCATAACGAAACAAAGAAAGAAAAAAAAGAAAAGAAACACTAACCTTTAGCCACTAAACAAAACACTGGAGGAAAAGCTCCGTCCAAAGTGTAACTTGATGCTCGTCAGTCTTCCTGCCAATTCTGGTCCTCTCGCCTCTCGCGTGAGACTGTGTTCAGATCGGTGGTCCCACAAAGCTAACATTCAGTCAGATTCTTTTCAAAACACATTGTTTACGTACATCAGATATGTATTTGAAGAACGTCTACAGCTGCTGTTTCACAGAACATTCAAAAGTGACGGCACACGATCGTGATAGACAGATCAGGGAGACAGTGAGTGTCTCTGGGAAGGCCCCACGAGGATCAGACGGGGGTTAGGCTCACTACTCGGGCAAAGTCTGAGGGTCTCTCCTCTCCAAAAAAATCTAAAAGATACTATTACATATATATATATACATACACACTGCTACAGTACCGAGTGGACCTCACCTGGAGTCCACGACAAGAAGCCCTCTTATAGGGTGAAGGAAGGTGAGCACATGACTTAGCAGCAGGACACAGACTCAGTAGTGTAGGTTCAAGTGAGTGTTAACAGCAACGTGTGAAGAGTGAACACGCAAGTTTTACATACAAACAAACAGGTGTAGAATATCCTGCTCATATTTAAGAAATGTCAAATACTTATCACGTCGGTTTTCACAAGTGCTCAAGAGTTAAAGGAACAGTTCGACCTTTGGGGGAATACATTTATTTGCCTGCTCGCTGAGAGTTAGACGACCAGCTCAATACCAGTAAATACGAAGCTCCAGCTAGCAGCCATTTAGCTTAGCCTGGCATAAATAAAACCCGGACCGAAATCAATGTTGGAAGGAGTTGGAAAAGGAAGCGACTCAACTTGGAGAATAAAAACTGCCTTGTACAAACACAATTTGTCAACACTTGTGTGTTAATTATTGATCTCTGGAGGGAATTGTATCATTCATTTGTTACATTTGGATTGAGCTGCTTCAAGATCTTTCCAGTCTTCATGCTAAGCTATGGCTGTAGTCAATATTGATTTGGTATTGATTTTCACGTGATATACCTTGTTTACACAGGAATTAGCGGGTACACACAGGTTTTTCAAAACAAAGGTAAATCCGCAAAAAGGCGATTGACCCTTCCTCCATTGTCATTTGCCTTTCTGTCCCCCCCCCCAGTGCGTTGTGTTCAATGTCACAAACGCACAGAAAACAAAGGCGCTCTCTCATCTCTCTGTCTTAAAGCATTTACCCGATTGTCACGTTCGCATCACTGCCCAGTAGAGTGGGAGGCGATTAAAACCTGTGTCAAACAGAAACAACTCTCAGCAAGCAAGCAAACAATCACATCCCCCAGAATGTCAGACTTCTGCTTGAAGCGGGCTTGTGACTGTATAGTGTGTTCTGTTCACGAGTGCAGTGCAGGACAGCAAAGACAAGCAGTTAGGAAGAGACGTTAAGGTGATTTGTTATTTCACACAAAGTAAAGACACTTTTGATAGTAGTGGGGGTAAAAAAAGCATGGGGACATTGGTCCTGCTTCAAGTGCAGAGAAACAATCCAAAGACACTGGAGAACTGGGTTGTGAAGACCAGCTACCAACCTGTTAGCTCTGCCACCTTCTCCTCCTCCAACGCTTCTCTTCCTCCTGTTTATTTCTACCACAACACACGGCCACCCTTCCCCTGGGTAGTTGTGCGTCTGTAGTTGTGTTGTTTCGTTGCACAGCACTGGATATATGCAGAGCTGTGTTCAACTCTTAAACATTCTGTGAGTTATTATAATGGTAGAGAACTGTCTACAGTGCAGACGAGAGAGGAAAGAGTCTCTTTAACAATACAGTGGAGTAAATGGGATTAGCAGAAGCCTCTGAGAACACAGAGTCTAACAAAACAGCTATTGACGTTAGTGTTTCCTCTCAGCGCAGTCATAAAGGTTACATAGCAAGGAAGGTGTGTTTTAGGGCTGAGCATTGGGGTTAGGGGTCAAAGTGCAGGGAGGCAGCATCAGAGGATGCTGTTGATGTCCTTCCATAGTCAAACCAGCAGGTGGCGTTTTGTTCAGTTGCTTGCCACCTCGTCCGCATTGTCAACCACTTCTAAGGTGCTGTCCAGTCCACCGCGTGCACGCCAGATCTTCACAGTCCGGTCACTGTGAGACAGAGACACAAAGTAACGTCAAAGAAAAGTAAAGGACATCATAAAGCAGCTGCACTAAGTTAGCAAGCTACTTCGTTCAGTGCTACGACGTCCTGAACGCCCTCTAGTCACCTCCACCGAGGAGGTTATAGTTTCTCTGTCTGTCAGCAAGATTACACAAAAACTACTGAACAGATTTCCATGAAACTTGGTGGAATGAGGCTATTGGGGTCAAGAAAGAACCCATTACATTTGGTGTGGATCCAGATCAGGGGACAGATCCAAGAGTTTTTGTCTCACTCTCTTTAACATCGTGAGATAGGGTGTTGGTTTTACATTTGTATTGATTTCTCAGAAAATCATTCATGGATCTTGAGGAAAACAATTAAGGACATTAAGGGAACTGATATTTATATGTGTGTGAAATGTAATGAAAGGAGCTGCTCAAGCTCAAGCCTTCTACTGCCAGATGAAACAAGAGCCTGACTATTGAATTAGCAGGTATATACAGGTTATTTAAAATCATTGAGTGTACACTCAAGGATTTTCGAATCTGACAAGCATCTTGTTTTTGATTCAAATATTTTCATGGTCGAGGTGATTCAGATGATGCTGAAAGAAGACAGGTCTCAAACTTGGCCTGTCAGATGTAGATGCATCAGAAAGAGAAAGGCGAAAAAGTAGAAAAGACCAACACAAGAAAGTTGGTATTAGTAGTGAGAAACATGTCACTTATTTTAGAAAGAGTAATCACAGGGCAGTAGCTGATTCTTGTTAAAAGGGACTGCTATGTCTAAATCAGATACTGTACACAGTACTGGTGTAGTGAATTCTAACAGGCCCCAAATCAATTATAGTTGTTGAGCACTAAAAGAGCTTGCAACACATAATATCTAATATCCATCTTTCAAAACATCTTCTGTTTCTTGTGTGTACTCCCAATTTCTCACCACATAAAAATTGGTGTGGACGACGTGTCCTCCAGATTTTCACAAGTGGAAAACATGTTGGAAACTTCTCACCTTCAACAGATGGTATCTTGGCTACATAGAAGGGGAGGAACCACCATGGTTTCACACTCCACTCTTTAATTTTGTAAAAGTAAAATCTCAGGCAAACTACTCAAGTAGTGAGCAACTCCATTAGAATGTATATTCAAACAGGATATTTAGAGGTGATAACAATGTAAAGTGCACACTGATTGTAATTAATAAAGTGAAATATTCAAAACTAGGCAATACCAAAATACATGCTGTTAACACTGTTGGTTTCAAACATCAAGAAAAAACGTCACTGAATCCTCATAGGAAAGGCTTGACTGCAGCTAATTGATGCAAGATAGGAAGATGTGGACATTCCAAAATAAAAATATAATTCCAATAAATTAAACCAAAAAATTCTATGCCATTTAATATACATCTTCCAAACTAGGTGGTAAAATAAACAGGTGAAGAGCACAAATAAAGGTATTTCTGTGCCATACATCCCTGAAGGAGTGGCTTAGATGCAGTCATTCAAAAACATCATATTCCACTAAATAGAGTCGATGTTTACAATTTAAAGTATGTAACATAAATTAAGACATGAAATAGAAATAGACCACTGGTTTTTGAAACATCCATCTTTTGAATCGAGGTTTCACCTATTATCTCTGTGTAATACGTGGTTACAGCAGAATAGATAGTGAAAAACATAGATATTTGCTAAACTTCCTGTACCCCTTTCAAAGTAAAAGCACTACAGGGTTTCTGCTGTTTTAACAAGGTTTTGTTTTAACAAGATTCTGAGTGTTATTTCAGGACCAGCAGATGCAGGTTTCATAGCGTAGATTCCTGGCAATTAGTTGCGTGTATAGCTGTACTTTTACTCAAGGAAATACAGTGATCATAGCAGAAACCTCACATTAAAGCTTTGCTGCAGACACACAGCACAACAAGCTGCCTGTGTGAACTACAGAAAAACGAGACACGCAGCAGATCCATGGAGCAGCTGTTACGCTAATGCAGCCAGTGTGGCTTGTGCGTCACTGTCGGGAAATTGCTGTGACTGCTCAGCTGAATAAATAAATCGTAGACATAGAAAATTAGCAAGAAGTGTGTGGAGTAGGAGTAAAAAGTATTCTGCAAAGCAACTACTCCCAGGAGTACAATTCATTGAAGTAAATACTGAAGTAAATGTATGGCGTGCACAACATTTTACTGCATTTTTCATTGTTAATCCAATTGTGCATTAACAGACTGTGAGTCTAGAAATACATGAATTGAGACAGCAAAGATCTGTGAGCATCAGTTGATGTGCTTCACCAGATAGTTTTTGGTAAAGTGGCCAGTAGAGGATTTGAGGCTCTGAGGGATCGACCAGGGACGGAACTTTGCAGCATAACATAAGAACAGTGAGGAGCAAATCAATGAATAAATAGACTCAAAAGGGACATACAGGAATCTTAAAATGTATCTTAAAAATGACTTGAAACCTGGAGACATATGAAGGTGTGTGTGTGAAAGACTCACTCCGAGGCAGTGAACAGGTGGCTGCTGTTGGTAGAGATGCTGTTGATGGGGCTTTCGTGACCCTTGAGCTCCCCCAGGGTCCCTAGTGTGTCTGTGTTCCACAGCTTGAGCACCCCACCCCTGCAGCCGCTGAGCAGGGCCGGGGAGCCGGGGACAACGCCCAGCGCACAGACCCAATCACGGTGAGCATTGGGGACTTGCTGATGGAGAGAAAAACATTGTAGGGTTAACACATATGTTAGAATCTGTGTTTCACATGTGATTTGTGATCACAAAATGTACAAATATGAATAATAACAATATGAAGGTGCATGACGCAGGTGATGGTAAGTGTTGGCATCCACTGAACCAAGTCACTAAGTGAAGAAATAGCATTAATATGTATTTCCTAATGAGCTACACGCAACAAATATATGTATAATAATAATAATATGGGCGATTAGTTTTATTCTTTTGCGTTTTATTTCCTCTGCCAAGGAGGTGGTTTTCAGATGGGTTTCTTAGTCAGAAGGATTATACAGGAACTACTGAATTGGTTTCCATTACATTTTATGGAGGCGTAATTAAAAATTCAGAAATTGATTCTTTGCGGCGTTTCCCACAAAATGAATTAAATCTCTGGTTGTAGTGGGAGTGCACATGCAGAATCTGTTGTGTGTGAAAGCAACATATTGTGGATGGCAGGTGCACAGAGTAAAGAGTTAAAGATAAGTGGGAGATAATGTCTATTTCTAAATGAACCCTTTGACTCATCCAGTACCTGCAGCAGGTCTTTGCGGTCCAGGTCCCACTTCTTGATGCCGTTGTCTCGGGAGCCGCTGAAGAGAATGTCCCCCTGCACCACCAGTGATTCAATACCATCGTAATGTGGCGGTTCGAAGTTGTGTGTAGGGCTGATGCTCCCCAGAGAGCCCTCAGTCACATCGAACAGCTGCAACGAGTAGGACGCCACATGTTAATGGTGGATATAGATCCTGAAAACACTTTGTTGTCAAGTGTTACTATCTACTACATGTGTATTACAGAATATCTTTATTTACATCTAGAATATCGGTTTTATTGTGCTCGAAGCATTCAGTTAATCTTGCGTAATGTGACTAGTTCCTTTTGTTGAACTTGTGAATGGGCTCACAGGGAAAAGACTCACACCTTAATATAATGATCTTTGGAGCCGGTGATCACCAGGTCTTGGTTACTTCCAGTCTGATCCACAGTCAGACACATCACTGGGCTGAGGTGACCAGTAAGTTTCCCAGTGGAAGCAAATCTGACAGAGTGAAAAGTTTATCATTAATTAAAATCCCAGAAAATTTGACCATTTCTGATATTACAATCCAAGAGTATTAAAAAGTGTCATGTGGATAAACATAGTGTAAGAATAAAGTTTGCTTTGTTTGATGTAAGCTTAAATTACAATGCGTTCTTGCAAGTCATATGATAAGTTATTTTAACCGTCCAGACTGCTTGTTATCGCTGGGTTTTTTTTTTTTGCTAAGAGGCAATTCATCAAAACTAACACCAGCTGGCTGCCAATGATGGATGACAGATATGGTTTGGATACCTGACGGGTTTTCATATCGAGTCTTCAGAGAGTTCAGCGAAAAGAAACTCTGCTTAATGTTTCCTCACAGTGTGTGTGTGAGTGTTTATGTGTGAGTGTGTGTGTGTGTGAGTGTGTATTGCATCTCAAACTGGATAGAAAACCACATGAAATGGTGGGGACGATAAACATGCAGGGTTCATGTACCTCCAAGTTTATATACACAGTACTGCAGATACACAAATTCATTTCAAATGTTGTTTCCTGTTGGCTTAAAGGTTTTGACTGAAAAGTGATCAACATCTTAAGTTTAAATAATTATTATAGTTATTGGAAAAAGTTGAAAAAAACTTAAATGTGTACAGGAATACTCTCCAAAGTTCAAAAGGTGAGCGGCTGACCTTCTCAGATCCCAGACTCTGACGGAGTTTCCAGCGGCGGTGTAAAGAACTGTCCCGTTGGGGTTCAGGGCGATCTGGTTGATCTGGTTCTCTCCTGCTGGGATGGTGACAGTTCGGCTGGTGTTTGACGCGCAGGCGTCCCCAACATTAACCTGACCAGAGGACCTGAAGACACATGGATACAATGTGTATGAATATGCAACAGATAACCTGAGGGAAAACATTCTCACATTGACTCTTTTCAAGACTGATCTTTTACCTGCTGTCCTGAGGATATCGTTAAAAACGGATTTTCAAATGTAGTGTCGACTCTTTGACAGAAAGCTTTGCAGCACACTCATGGCCCTATTACAGCTAAAGTAATTTACAGAATCTTCTAGGATTTAGAAATGAACCTGTGTGTCCAGTGCTGTGAGTTGCTCAGCTCATATGTGGCAAAGACACAGGGTATTGCTTAGGCGTACAATCCAGTCACACTCACGTCAGCGTACGAATGCACTTGGCCGAGTCGCGGATGTCCCAGACTTTGATGTAGGAAGTTGAGACGGTGAAGACCAAACTGGAGCTGTAGCGGACCGACACCACGTTGTTGGGGTGACCGGCCAGGGACATTATCTCCTGACCAGTCACCAGGTTCCACACCTTACATGTCCGGTCTGCAGGAGGAGACGCAGTCTGTCATCTCCAGTGTCATTTATTTATTATTATTTATTATTAGAAATACAGGGAGCATAAATCTTACAGTACAACATATTCGACATTGTAATAAAAACAGATACAGTGCACAGAAAGAACAGCTAATTGACCTGTTAAAAGAAGTGGCTGTGTGGACATGAATGAGAGCTACAGTTCAGCTGAGTGCTTATACATTTACATCAATATATTCAGTTTAACAAGCCTTTAGATTTTTACTCTATGTGCCTGTTCCTTTATTTCATCACCTCATTTATCCACATATTGTGCATATGACAATCTTAATTAATCCCTTTCAGGATTTATTTGCTCTCATATAAAAGCATGTCAAAGTGTAATAAATGAGCAGAGCTGTTACAGGGAGACACGCAACTAATACTAATGATGAGAGACAGACACACTAGAGTAACGGAGGGAGGGAGGACTGTGGGTGTTTAACCTTTGGATCCAGTGAAGAGAAGGTCATCGGTGCAGTCGACACAGAGAACAGCTTTACTGTGTCCCTCTGCTACGTGGACACACTGCAATGTGGCGGACCGGCTGCTCTTGGTGGACGGCACCGGGTTAATGACGCCCCTGGAAAACACACACATACAGGCACACACACACACACATCAATAGATGCAACATTAAAGATATACGTTTATCAGGAGAGGTGTAAATCCCACCCACACAACCAGAGTCAAGGAGCAGCGTGCAGCTTTCATGGCTGATTAGCATGAAGCTGTAAATCAAAAAGAGAAAGATGACAATAACCATCCAAAGGAAAGTAAAGAGAGAACTGTGAACAGTCACCAAGCTCAAGGAAATCACCCAAAATACCTCTGGCATCTGGATGCTTCTCCAGCATAAATAGACAAACAACACCCGAGGAGACAATGAAAGACGATCATTGGAAAGCAGCAGTGTTGGATCCTCAGGGCCCCGCAAGTTCAATAGTATCACAGGAACTTTGATCAATCACTAATTGGCTGGTCATGTTGCCAAACTGGCAGCTGATAGAGAGCAGTCATTGTACAATTACACTAACAGTTGTATCTATTAGTATCAGTGAAGCGGCTGGAGCATACCACAGATACCACAGGTCGATATTCAGGAGTTGCCGATGAATGAAGTTCAAAAGGCTTGCAGTGTGAAAAATAAAAGCTCAGCTGAAACGTAAAAAAGACTAACAAACAGAGGATGGCAGAGCGTTCTGGTTCGATAGCACTAATAAGCTTAACAAGATTACACTATCTAGGTTTATTGATCCCAGATATCCCAGGTTATCCAGTAATTGTTTCATGAACTGGTTGTGTCTGGTTGTGTGTGGACACCACAGTAGTGAAGGGGGGGGGCTTCAACCTGAAGTCACACTCAAAGCTGTGAGATCTGTCCAAGTAAAACCTGGAGGCCGTGGTGACAAAAGGGTGGAACTCCAAAAACCATGTGCATCTGTGTTTCAGATTGACCTGTGCCCCGGACACCAAAGGTGAAAGGTGAAATCTTAGAGGATCTTAGAGGATGAATAAAAAAAACTTGTACTTGGGTGAGTCGGAGCAAGGACATGAAACAGCGTGGACAATGTGACTGGAGCACAGGTGGAGGCATCGATCCTTCCTGGGGTGGAAGAGAATATCTGATGTAGCTACGAGCTGAATAAAACTCTAACTTGATCCTATTCCTATCAGGTTCAGTAAACATTCCTCAAGTTAAACTATGCAACTTTTACTGAGCAACAGCAATAATCATGTAACTATAGTCTCCTAGTACATAAAAAGGGGCATTACTGTGGTTTAGCATCTTTTCTACCTTCTATACACCCAAACAGTTGGAATCTATAATCTATTTCACTATATTCAACCTATAAATGAAGGATCTGATTATACAAAATGTTCTATAAACTGCATAAAACAACAGGATTAAAAAGTAGTGTCCATGGCAAATACACAACAACACTTTTTGGTCGTGTATTGTAAATACTCAAAAGCTTATACACATCCAATGTTCAAAATCTCAATTTGCTACCATCTACTGGACAGAGTCAACTGTTTATTTTGTTGTAACATAAATTGGGTAATGATACTGATATAGAATGAACTTGGTAATTGCAAAATGCTAATAAAGTTAATTATGACAAAAATGATGATAATATTGGTGCAAAATCAAAATGTGTACGTACTTCTACAGATTGACATATATATAAAGTGTAACTATGCAAAATGGGCAACATTCAGCAAACGGACAGGATTTGGAGTGGATTGCCCTCACTCATCCGGAGCATCTCTCCCCAGCTCTAATCTGACTTTCTGGCAGTCTAGTGTCAATTTTACTTATCTCGGGCTCTTACTTATCCTGCAGGACACGTGCTGTAAGCCCCAGATACCCTGTCATACTGCTAAACACGAGGACGTGGTTATTGGGACGAGCGGTAGGGGAGAGAGGAAGTGGTGGGCCGCTCCACAGTTTCCTGATGACTGGGCTGTGAAGGAAGACAGTAGGGCTGCCAATTAAGCTGCGGCATAATTAAAGTGTGTGCTAGGCTGTTTACACACTGATGGTGAAAGTGTGAGAGGACTGCATGAGGACAGAACGGAGACGCATATGCTGCATTCATGTCATAGGGGAGCGACAGTAAAATGTTCATGTGGTCAAAGTAATCTGAAGCTGTACACATGACATCACTGTGGTGTCCTGCTCAGTGTGGTTCACTGGGTTTGTTGGGTTGGACATTTAAGGCCAATATCATTCTGTCAAACAGAGGTTGCTGCCTCTATAATAGATGTGTTAATATCTTATAGCCCATAGATTTAATAGCATGGTTTCACCATTATAAAGCCCAAATAATCTATCTAACAAACCCTCCATTAATGATGTCAAGCTGCAGCCTTTGTTTTGAGCCATAGAATGAAGAGAAAAATATCTGTACAGAACACAGTTTTTGATGTGAAAATAATAGTAAGACGTATAAATAATACTAGCATGACGCATTTTGCATCTTGCAGTTTAAATCTAAAAATAGCTCAGCTTATGCTAAGAAAACAAAAAGCTACTTAGATCTGTATCCATTAAAAATGTCGCATTTAGCCTGAGGGTGGTGGCAGAGTAAATGTCATGTAGTAGCCTAAAGGCGTCATTCTGTGGGGTGTCCTGGCAGCATAGTGGTCTAAACACAACAGCAGTCTGCTTCATGTCTGGCCAGGGACTTTTTGAATTTTTTATATCCTTCTTACGCCATTATTCCTGTCTGTCTCTATTTTTTACTAACAACAAATAACACTATGAGAGACATATTTTTAGTTAAGAAAGTGGCATCCATTATTTTGGCCATATGACATAATTGCAGTCATATTCAGGACTCACACTGACCACATGCACTCACAGACTGAGCGTGCGTCTTTAAAGTTGGCAAACAGCTAATGTGCACAAAGCACAGTAGTAAACTTGTCCAGGTCATGCCAACAAAAGCTCAATACAAAGAGATAACTTTTATTTATCATCTTTATACAATCATCTGTGTATGTGCGGACAGGATTATGGAAACAACATTTCTTTTTAAATGTAAGTTGTCATCAAATGATCACTTTGCAAAAGACAAAGTTAGTATTATGGACACTTCACTCTACACATTGTCCGTCCCTCACAATCATTTACTCATCAGACAAAGAAAGAGAAAGGACAGTGATTTCCTCAGTCAGTTAAATGATATCAATCATGAGTAGACCAGCAGCAGACGGATTCATGAGCAAGTTGAACACTGAATTTGGGTCTAAAGGAGTGAAAGAAGATCATCACCAGTTATTATGTCTCGGAGAAGAGCCAAGCTAGGCAGGAAAAATAAGACCTTAAAGTCAGTGTAGAACTTGGCAGGTCAGAAGTTATCACACCAGGCATTGAACATCACTATTCAGTCGAAGCCACATGCTTCTTCACAGCAGGAAACCAAGAGAAGAAGTATTAGTGGAGCTAACGTGAAGTTATTTTTTCCGGCTCTGCAGCTACAATGTCGGCTGCCAGCTCTTACTGTTTGATCTCCTTGACCTTTGCCCTGTCGGCTGCTGCATACGCCTTGTCATAGGTCTTCCTGCGAGAGAGCGGCGAAGGCTCCGGAGCTCGCTTTTCCACCACTGGCGAAGTTCTGGAGCCAGAACTGAACGTTCAGTTTCATCAATTCATCAACAAACAACACAAAGAGAGTATACAGAAATAGAATGATAAAACAACAGAAGGATGTCAAACAAACAAACAAACAAATAATGGCAACAATTATAGGGCATGAGCATGCAATACACACAGAAACACAGTTACCTGATGTATAAAGTCCCAAAACAGTGGTGGTTCTTCGCCAAGCTCATGTTTAACTACTGAGGGATACTGTGTAGGTTTTGTGCTACTCTAAAATATAATTGAAATACTTTATCTGCTGATGGATGACTGTCAGTGTTTGAAGCACGGCCTTTCATCAACCAGTTAGAGCTGTTTAGTATTTTTGCTTTCAGTGTGTAATTCAGCTGTAAGAAGGGATTAGAGGGATAGTTTATGCAGGAGCAGTATCTAATAAGCCATGCAGATGTTATGATTTGTTCCTTTCTACGTGGTTTCACCTCAAAGGACTCATCAGTGGGAGGAAGGTATAGGTAGTCATTTGATGAAAGGTGGCTCATGAATAATTTGAAACAAAATTAAACAGCACAGGATAAAGCAGCAACATCAAACATGCAGGAAGTGACGATAAACGTGTTAGACAAAGAGTGCGGGGCCTGGACTTACATGCTGCCCATTTTAGAGGAAAAGCCAGGGGAGAGAGCGGTGTAGTCCCTGACTGATGAGCCTGATGTGTCCATGTCTCCTCCCCCATCTGGTGTCTCAGTTAACGGCAGCATCGGACTGGAGAAGTCCGCAGTGGGTACGTCGGGGGCAGAGTCAGAGTTTGCGTACAGCAACTCCATCTGGGTAGTGGTCCTCCTACGAGCCTGTGCAGGACAGATTCGTGAAAATTAGGACAAGAACGAATCGGGGGAGAAAATGGTTGATGTAGAAAATGAACAATAAACAGTGCAATACCTTATTCCTTGTTTTGGTCTCGCCACACAGTTTCATGAGGTCTGATGTTAAAGTACTGGAAGGAATAGATATTCATGAGTCTCATAAGTATCAGTAAACATAAAAGTATTTGTGTAAAGAAACCCAATGGGCATAATAACGATAAATAAAAAGATGAAATAAAAGGAAAGCATAATGTAACATTAATGCTATATATGAGAATCCCATATAATAAAACATAAGTCAACTTTACGTAAAGTTATTGTAAACAGACACAGATACACAAGATAAATCGAATAAACATAAAATCTTAGATCATACAACACGTCCTACTATATACTGTAACGTATTCTATTTTAAAATAATGGATCGTGGTGGCAGCTGATTGTGGATTATGATTACAACCAGATTATTCTAGATATACAATATGCCTACTCATATATATGACTATTATTGACAATAGCTCTATTGTGACATTGCTACTTCCTTCATCTCTGTCAGACTTTCTGTTTTGTATAAATACTTTTAACATTGATTGAGGGACAGTATCATTTGTGAATTTGGGCAATACAAATACAATCTGATTTGATAGAATGTAGCATATTGTCACATGAAGTATATGTATGTGATATATGAACATAACAGGACAAGATCAAATATGATATGGTGATAGAAAACATAATAGTAAATGTCAACATATACTTACGTTCCCTCTGCTGAAGGGCTCTGTGCAGACTCATCACTGCTGCTATCGTCCCCATTGTCTGTCAAATCAGATCAATGAATAACATTAGAATGCCACAATAACCTCTGGACTAATAAGACTGAGATGCCTGCTACACGTCTTTCTCATTTCTTAGCAAGCGCATCTTCCTTCGACTCATTCATTTATAATTTTTCTCTATTTCACTAAAGAATGAAGCAATATTCCTCTGGCCAATAGCTGGCTGTAGAAAAGATGGTCAAGGTAAGCAGATGATATCAGCACAGTGCCATGCTGTTTTATAAACAAAGAGAAAGGTGGTCCTCACTGAGCTCAATGAAATCGGATGGATTGAAAAAAGTGAGAGGTCAGAGGTCAGACAGCGGTCAGGTGGGGGATGGTTATAAAGAGAGACATGTGGGCGGCTTGAGGCAAAGGTAAAAGACTGGATATGAGACAACAAGGTGGTGGAGCAAGAGGAATCATTAGTCTGTTGCTCCCGATGGGGTCGGCTGACCTACAGGAGTCCAACAGAGCTACAATATCCATGTTGTATGGTTCCTGTGAAGGGGTCTGCGGTTATCAGGGTGCTAAAGCATGGAGGCTGTAGAACATGTTGAGCTGGGAGAAGGAGGAGGAGGAGGCAGAGTGTGTCCAGATGAAGGGAAGTGAAGGGTTGGCAGATACAGATGGAGGGAAGCCTGGTTGCATTGCACCTCATGCGCCTGTTCATGTTGCGTTAAGTTAGTTTTCAAAGTGCAGAGGGAAGGAACCATGCATCCGTTACACAGGTAAGAGTCTAATATGAGTTCACTTACCAGCTGGAATGTTACCTAGCTCTGTGAAAACATAAAATAACGGAAAAAAAAGAAAACATGGGGGAACAGAAAAAAGGCAATGCACAAATCAAAAACACATTCCCCCAAAATTCTAAATAAATAAAAACAGGAAACGAACAAAAAACTAAAGTGCATCTACTGTAAACAAAGCATCCTACTGAACAGAGGCTGAAAAAAAGACAAGTTTTGGTTAATACTTATTGAATCTTAATGCCATACGATCGAGGTGGAATTCATTCAGAATGATTTTATAATAATAAATTCAGCTTCTATTCAGCAGAAGGCAACAGGCAAAAGCATCTCAATAGTCCCAGTCATGCAACTGACCAGTAACTCAGTCCACTTTATGAAAGGCCAAAGGCTCCATCACAGAGAAACATCCCACAGTAAAATCTCCCAATGACGCGCACATTTACTTGATGTGATGCTACTGTTGCCTCCATGGGAGTGGGCTGAGTTAAAACAGGGTGTTGATCTGTGTTTTTTAGTCCTTATCTGCAACTTCTCCCTCATCCCAACCATGTGCTGTTTTTTACCTTGCAGGGCGTTCCCCAGCAGGGCGTCCAACTCTGGGTTGAACTCTGCTTTCTCCTTCAGCATGTGAAAGAGCAGCTGGTTCTGTGTGGCGCTGGTGATCTCCGTCTGCTTCAGCCTGCCCTCCATCACCTTCACCTGGGACTCCTTCTGAGCCGCCTGCAGACCCTGGACACGTCAGAACTCAAATATTAATGTTTGTGTTCACTGTGCAGTTAAAAGTCACACCTGCAACTTGTCTATACGAGACATTTGTGGTTGGATTTGAAAGATAATACAAGATAATCATCATGTAGATATTAATATTTTACCGTATTTTTTGACTGTAGTCACAAATCAACTTAAAAATCTTAAAAAACGCTTAAAGCTTCACTTTTGTCACTCAGTAGAGCACAAGCCTCACCAAATTTTACACACTTGTTTGTGAATGTGCCTGCATTTTTTCATCAAGCTCCCCCCCTGATTCGGATCTACACAAAAGTTTAGGGGGTTCTTCCCTGCCCCATACTGCATACTTCTACCAAGTTTGTTGAAATCCTCAAGTTTTTGCATAATCCTGACAGGGATGAAGACATTATCTCCTTGGCGGACAAAAATTGAAGTCAATATATTGTTAATGTCAAAGAGTTAAAGTGGATTAGGTTTTTGTAAAACGTTTGGTCATCCCAAACTCTCCACAGGCTTATTTATTCTTGATCGTTGTAATGCATCCATATGCAATGACAGTAGTGTGTTTTTTAAGAGTGTACAGGTGTGTATAGATTTGGTAGGTGATATATGAAGGAACAGACTTGAGGACAGCTGATCATCATACCTTATTTATGGCCATTGAAATGAAGTGATCGAGGAGGAAACGAGCCTCTGCAAGGGTACAAGAGCCAATCACAGCAGAGACATCCACTATGTCGCCCTCCTCCTGGAAACAAACAACATTAATGGTCATTTGTATAACTCTATACATTTCAGCAGGCATAGCAGTTCACAGGTCAACCTGAACCATAGGGTCAATTCAGCACATCTATCTACCACCACGGCTTCCTGGTTCGTTTAACATTATGTGTAAAAACAAATTGGACCAGAGAAGCCAATGGAGTCTGTGTCTTCCGACCAGGTTCTGGTCCAGCATTTCTCCGTTCTTATTCAGAGGACAAAATAAGCTTATAATAAAAATAATTCACTTTCTCTACTAATTTGACCAAACAGTGTAGCTCAAACAAACTGTTCATACCTAACTGTGGTCTACTCATCAGGCTTTCTCACCTTGGCCTCCTCCATCTGCATAATGTTGGCCTGACAGTCTGCGATGCTGTCATTGATGTAGTCGATGTTGGCCGTCAGTGCGTCCACTTCTTCGTTGAGGGGGGGCACTGCCTTCTCTGCCTCTGGCCCCTCTTTCACCAGCCTGTCCCTCTTCCTGATGACCTTCTCCTTACGCTTGGTCAGCTCCTCCCTTTGCTATAAACACAGCCAGATGATGATGGTGATGAGATGACAGCATGGGATTTAAATAAAGACTTCAGTAACAAAAATCACCAAAAACCTGCACAGACTTAGTGTTCTGTGAGCTTTGGCCTGAAGAAAAACCACAGGCACAATATTTGGGGATTTGATGATTTTTTTCAGCAATTTTCTATATTAATTTAATTTAATTGAAAATAAATTGTGTTTTAATTTATCTTTAAAATAAATAACAAATGAGAAACTTATCTTACTTTTGTTTACTAATTCCACAAATCTCTGTCTGTCTGTATGTGGAACAAATATCTCCGGAAACATTAATCTTATCAACTTCACACTTGGCATGTGCATTGTTAAGGGCTCAATAAAGTGCAGTGTCAAATTTGGTGCAATTTGGACTCGCAGAACATTCAATATTAATAAACTTTGAAGAAACAGGTGGCCAGTGTTGCAGCCGTGGCCGGGAGCCATCAACATAGGTGACGTTGATCACAACAACAGGTGAGTTCACGACAATGGCTGCAACAACTGATTCTCCAGTTCGGGTTTCTGCGGCCTCAGTCGAGCTTCACTGATCTCTGAATAAACAGTGGATAAAGTGAATAAATGAAAACAAAGTCAATCATTATTGAGGATTATTTCCACTATTCAACTTGTCACCTTTGATTTCCCGTTCAAGAAAGAATTGGAAATGCTGGGAGGCACATTTCCCAGCTAATTCAAGGTTTCAAGCAACTTGTATAACTTTGGCAGTTCTGCACTTGATAGAAATTCTAGAGCAACCATCCATGTGCAGGACTTTACCTTGAGGAGGCGGTTCATGTCGGCCTCCATGTTGGAGATGGTCATCCTCTGCATGATGACATCACAGACTCGCCGCTCGAGGGACAGCCATTTATTACGAGCAACTCTGGTGAAGTAAACACCTACTGTACGCCTGTAGGAAAAACTACACACAGAGGATGGATCAATAATGTTATTGATTCGTTTTAAAACATCTTTGCACATCCGGAGAGGTTGTAAACAAGCTCATAAACATGTTCCCAAGGTGGTTAATAAGGAGGCTACATTGATTCCTGGTGCAGAATTATATTAGAAAATCAATCTAAAACATAACAGAATTACAGATTGAAGTGGATTTTACATATGATTTCTAAGATTTTGAGGGTCTTACATATGAACACAGTATTTATTGTAGTGAGGGTAATATTTCGGCTAAATATTCAGTAGCTGTCTCTCTGGAGACACATGTAGACTAACCGGGTTCCGTTGGGACCAGTGCTGCTGGAGGAGTACATGCGTCCGGATGGGGGTCTGTGGGGGGAGTCCTGGGCTGAATCTGAGAGATTGACTTTCCTGATGACCTTACCAGAGGTAGGCCTGGCCTGCCGCCTCAGAGCCGTCACCTGACACACACACACAGATACACTCACACATTAACAATTAGAATTACTGCCCTATGCTTGTGGCCTCCCCTAACAAGTGGTCCTGTGAAGTTTTGAACACTAAATTCTAATCAGGTCATCCTTTCATCCTTGAGTCTAAGTGAATGTTTGTGCTATGGGTCTTCTTGATATGTCCCGTTTACAAGATTGTGAGGTTACATGACCTTTGACCTTCAACCACCAAACTCTACTCAGTTTATCTTTTTGTTCGTGTTCATTTCATTGGAGGGAATTTCTTCAAATTTGGTAAAGTGTTCCTGAGATGTAATCCTCATTTGAAGATTCGTTTTGTAAGGTCACATTGACCTTTGACCACCAAATAATCAGCTCAACTGTCAGTCAAACTGCCCGTTAGTACCAGATTTGAAGAAATTCCCTTCAAGCATTCCTGAGATGTCGTGTTCTCAAGAAAGGGATCGACGGGCAACCTGAAAACATAAGCCTGTGGCCACTGGCTTTCGCTAGCACAGAGACATTAAAAAAATCTGTTATTACAGGCATGAAGTGAAACTACTTGTGAGGCAGCAGTACCTGTGCAGGAGCAGTAGAAGATTTTCTACACTTTGATTTTCTCAATCAGAAAAACAAACATACACGTTGAGATCAAAGTGTATAAAGCTGCTCACCTCCTCAGTCTTTCTCCTCAGAATGAGCTCCTGCTGCCTCTTTTGAGCCTCCAGTAACTTCAGTTGATGCTGAGCAAGAAAATAAACACAATATCAACAAAAGATTAAACTAATGGCCAGCGGAAGCTGAAGAGGCTGTCGAGGACCATCCTGTAACTTACCTCCTGCTTGCGTTGGTCTTTCTTCAAGGTGGCAATTTCACGGTTTCTGCGAGATTCATTCATCCTATTTTTCTCCTGCTGCTCCTTCATCTGCTTCATGAGACGGACCTGGTGTAATCACATCACAAACATTCAGATTTTAAACACAAATATCGAGAAAAGATGTGTACTTTACTTTTTCTTCTTCCCTTGACGTTGAGTAATTTGTGTTGTTAAAACGAAGCTTCCACACCCAGAAAGATGTATTACGGCACAAAGTTATCATGATCAAACACATCATACCTTCGTCTTCTTCATTTCTGCCACATCCATCTGAAGCTTCTTCAGCTGCTTCTCGTACTGTGATTGGTTCTTCAGCAGGCGGGCGTGTTCTTTCTGAGCAGACTGGAGCTTCTGGAGTTCCTTGTTCATGACGCTCAGCTTCTTCTCATATTCAGCCTTAATTTTACGAGACTTGTCCTCTGTGCCGCTCTCTACAGAATCTGAAGTACGCAACACACAAATGACTTTAACTTGGAGGAGTCTTTTTTAATAAGGCTGAAAACTCTTTTCTCATTTTAAAATCAGAATCATATAAAGCTGTCATCAGCGGCCTTCTGACGGTTACATTTACAACTGGCTTTAAAGGATTCTGTATCGGCCGTGTCTTTTATTACAAAAGAACAAAATCGGAGATCAAACATATGAGATAAGATATAAATTCTTCCAAAGTCACAGAAGTAAGAACTCAAATATACTTCAAAAAGGCAGCAACATTAAAAACCAAACAGATTTCTATCAAAACTGACTGAGCATGATGAAGAAGTTAAGTACAATGCTCCTCCACTGATACATGACTCCCCCTTCTGGCAGAGAAGTCTTACTCATGTTCTGGAGGACACGGTCCCTCTCCAGCTGCGTGTCCTTGATCTTGCACTGCAGCATCATCAGCTTTTGCTCGTACTGCTGTTTGAGCGTGTGAAGACGCCGCTGGCTGTTCTCCAGCTCGTCGATCAGCTTCTGCTTGATGGCGATCTCACAGGTAATGTTGGCCAGATCTGCTTGGTAGTTCTCTGAGATACAGACAAATGCAGAATGGGGTTAACAGGCACAGGTCTACAGAAGGTTTGTCTCTGTGGAAGTATTCTGTGCGGTCACTGTGGTGGTCCAGACCCAATGTCAAACACACTGAATCTGACCCAAATAAGAATGTGCTGCCAAATTTCATCTTGCTCCTTTAAATTTCTTCGGCAAAGTTGAAACTTGCAGTTTTGTTTCGTTTTGTGATGAATCTTTTTCTTATTTGAAGCTGTCTGTAGAGGCTGAATTCATGCAAAGTCAAAAAAACACACCAGTCAGTTTCTCAATAGTGAACTGTGTGTGTGATGGCCACTCTGCCGTAACTTACTCAGAGTTTCTGCAGGTTACAACAACACACATCTAAGACTTTTTAAGACCTTCTGAAAACAATAAAGTCATTTAAGTCAAGTAGCCTACAACAGAAAAGAAGGAATATGAGACTCCCAGTATTATTTACATGTCACCATAACTGAAGATAAGGTAAAGTAGCCAAGTAGAAAAACCCTTAAAATGCCACGTCATCTCTCAAACTACAGACAGAGACTGTAGGTGTCTACAATCTTTCCCACTGTCAAGCCGAGTGCATTTCAGCTCCATGGACTTGTTTGTAGTTTTATTACAGCGTGCTAATATCTGTATCACTAATACCTGTGACACACAAAGACATTACAAACTATGCAAACATTTATCTTGAAATGAAAAACTACTATAATGCATAATGGAAGTACCATTAAATAAACATTAAAATATTTCAGATCGACAGATCTAAGTAATATTTGAATATATTCAAGATTATTTAAGGCCAAAAATTTAGATGTATGAGACTTTTTAAAATCTTGCTAAAATTCTGCTAACTAACGCACTTGTACCCTCGTCCATTATTATTCTGTCTTATAATCTTCTCACTTAAAGTTCCTCACCATGTGGAGCCATGTTTCATTAGACACATCCCACGCCATCACTGAGGAAGCTATTTTATAAACTCATTCATGCAATTAACTTGGAAATCACAGATGTTATTATGTTTGTTGTGTTGCAGCTGTACCAGTGTCTATATTTTCATGCAGTCGTTCTTACCATAGTTTTGAATTATACATTAGATCAAATACCCTAAACTTTGACTAAAAAAAAGTTATTGTGAGAAGGTACATTTTGAATCTGTTAGCATTAGTGATATTGGGAAGGGTATCATTTGTGTTGCTGAGTGTCAAGTTTAAATGTAGAAGACATAAATGTCCCTTTTGGTGGCTCAGTGGCCAGAACTAATGCATTTTACATGTTTCCGGTTTCAGAACTATACTGACATGAATGCATGTACAATCCATAGCTACAGTGTAAGTTACACAGGTTTTTTTATTTGTTGGTCTGTAATTGACTTCACAGCTTCCCCATGTTGACAACCTGCAGCCTGCTAAATGTGAGTGAGTTTAGAAGGGGATTACTACAATACAGGAGGCTGCACTTTCAGTCTGCAGAATGTGATAACTGCATGTGAATTGCCCATCATGCAACTTTCAGCAACCAAGAATTGTGGCATTTGGGTGGAATAAACATTTGAAACTGTAAGTGGTTAGACAAAGGAGTGTTTGGGTGGAATACACCTTTAAAATCTTGAAAACTAGGGTCTTAGAAACGTGACCCTGAAACTGTAGCCTCTACTGTTGCAGGAACAAAAAATGTAAGTGTTTGGAAGGTGTTAGAAGCAGTTCTGTGTTTTGAGAAAGAGAGAAAGTGGGGAATCGGACGTTGTCTCTGATACCTTTTTCGTCTGACTCAGAGTCAGAATCATCAGAGCTCTCCTCCACATCCATCTCCTCTTCTTCCTCCTCCTCGTCCTCCTCTCCTTCTTCATGGTCGCTGCCCTCCTGGACCTCCTACATTACAAACAAACAAATATCTGAATGTGCTTCTTAATGTGTTTAATGCTGATTCAACATAAAGATAAGAGCTGTCGGTCTTACAATTTCTGCGTCCTCGTTGGCTCGCTCCGACATTTCTTTCTCAGTGCCCTTTTCTTGCTCATTGTCGGGAATTTCCTCCTTGTTGACACTGAAAGATTCCAGCATAGAGACGAGTCAAACACGTCATATATCTGCTCTGACTGTGCCATAAACACTTTTTGAGCAGAACACTTGGTTTATCCCAAGTGGATTGTAAGTAGATTCACAGGCACACAAGAATTTGATAGTAACAACACTTCTGTGGCTATTGTGACATGTCTTTGCTTGTCTTTGGTTCCAGTTCTTTTTGTAAATAAGCTTTTAAATGGCCGTCACCTTGGTGCATCAATAAAACAGTTTAGGACTTCATTTACAGATACTTTCTTATGAGATAATGCTTATTTTACATGAACAATAAAACATACATAGAAAGGCAGGATAGTGAACTATCAAAGCCAAATATTAAGGTGACTGCTGCCCAGTTGATTTGAGAAAAATCCATTTTTGTCTGAAAAAAACCAGCAAAGGCAAAAAAAAAAGGTGGAGGGAAAATGCAGCAAAACAGAAAATGTGTGAACCAAATCCACAAAGCAGATCTGTTGGATAAATCTTTTATCCAAACACAGAGGGGGTAGCAGGGTTTAGGTGGCGTTTCACACAAAAACATCTGGACGGACTGACCAAAAAAGGACAACAAAGAGTAACAAAGAGGGATTTGTCAGCCAGTTCGACATTATTGTAAAACATTTTACACAAAGACTGATTAACAGTCATAAATTATGAATATGTACATTTTGCCTGAGTGTTAAATGATGAGGTAGTTTTATATTGAGCCCCCGAATGGTAATGTTACATTTGCACACATATGTTTTGCATTACCTCGCAATACTTTTAAAGAAAGGAAAGTATTGGGAGGTAACACAATATGTATTGCAAGATGCAAAAGTACTGCAAGAGAACAGTAAACATATTGCGAGGGAATGCAAATGTAATTCTAATAAAAATGATTGCCGTGAAAATGTTTCCGACCTTCAAATCTAAAAATCGGAATGAATAAATACTTTATGAGCTTTGGCTATATTGTGATGAAAATGTCTCATAGCAGACTCTTGTTGGCTTGTTCCAGGTTGAATACTTGAATACTTACAAAGTCAGTAAAACTAACAAAAAAGATGCAATAGAGTGCAGGGATGTAACATAAGGGAGAGATGGATGAGCAAAGGGATTCACACAGAAGATCCAAAGAGAGATTAAAGTTTAGTAAAATGGTAAAAATGTTTTATGAGAGTGAAGTGCTGCTACTGAGGCGTGTTTCACTCCGGGTGCCTACAATAAATAAAAGCTGAATTAGGGGAAGCGAGGGATGAGAGTGTCAACAGGAGGGTGGAAGCTCTGACAAACCTGGCATCCCCAACCTCTTCCACCACCTCCTCCCTTTCCTCCCTCTCTCTCTCCTCCAACAGCAGCTGGAGTCTTCAGGGGGAGGGTGAATGGTCAAACGAGACAAGGAAGCAAGAGATGAACGAAGGAAGGAAGAGTGGAGGGAAGATTGGTCAGAGGAAGCTCTGCACTGAAAATCCTGAATAGCACAAGTCTGATCATTTTCAATCAGGAGCCTCTGACCAGTGTCTACTGCAGGAAATTCTTCAAAATATTATATATGATCAGAATCAATTTATAGGCTAATGCATTATTAAACATAAGTTATTTCATCATCTCTTATTTTAGTGATGCCCCAGTTTGCATGACAAGTCAGAGAGCCATTTAATATACATGCATTAAGAATACATGTTCCCATTAAACAAATGATAAACCTCCAAAGGTTATATTTTTGTCCTACTCCTTTTGTTTGTTTCTCAGCATTACACAAAGACTACTGAATGGATTTCCATGAAACATAGTGAATGGATGGAACATGCGCCAAGAGAGAACTCATTACATTGCAACCCATTGCACTTATGTTGTGGAATACCCTGACCACATCTTTACGGTTTGATTCAGTGAAATCCTTTAAAAACACATATAAAGACACAACTGTTTTAAAGGTCCAGTGTGTTAGATTTAGTTTAAAGGGATCTATTAGCTGAAATTGAATATAAAACAATCCCAGTGATGTTTTCACAGTGTGTTTTATCTAAATTAAATTGATTGTTGTTTTCTTTACTCTAGAATGGGCCCTGCCATGTTTTTTACAGTAGCCCAGACGGGACAAACTAAACACTGTTTGAGTTTTTATGACAACTGAAGGTTTCCAGAGGTTCTCTTTCACGTTTGAAAGGGGAGGGTGAGGGGAATTTAGCTGCAACATGCAACTTCACCACCAGATGTCACTAAATTCTACACACTGAACCTTTAACAGGTGTTCAGGTGACTTGTGTGCAGCAGGTCTGTCTCTTTATGCACTTTTCTGGACTCTATATTGTTTTTAGAGTGTTTATGTGTGTTTTCTGTTTTTGTATGATGTAATTCTGTTTTTAACTTATTTGTGTGTGTGAAAATTGTTGTATAAATAAACTTTACTCATATTTGAAACAGATCTGAACAAAAGGGCTGATTTTCTTTCACTGTCTTTAACATTTTTTTTGACATTTTCACTAAGTAGGGCAGTAGCCGTTCTAAACTTTGGAATGTGCTGTTTGGTTGGCCTGTGGTAATGCTGGTTGTTTATTTCTGAAACTGTAAAAGCAACCTGCAGTAACTGAGCGAAAGAACGAGTAAAGACAGACTGCTGGACTCACTCCATAGTACCCTGAAGCTGCACCACAGCTGCTGCACAAAGAGCTGTTCATCTCTTTGTTCGAAGTTCAGTGAAGCTCGACTCAATATTCAGAATCCCATTGTTGTCATGATATAAAAAGTCACTTGTGAACATACAGCGTGTTCAAATTGCACCTAATTCAACACCGTATTTCATTATGCCCTTAATCATGACAAGTGTGAAGCCAATAAGATTAATAGTTCTTGAAATGTGTGAGCCACATATTCCACAGAACTATTCATGGATCTTGAAAAAACAGGAATAGTGAGAGCTACTGATATCTATGAGTGTGTGTAAGTTGGTGCAGCACAGTTGGGCCTTGATGCTCTTCTAAGTGAAGAGGTTTAGTTAGCAACACCTGATTAGAGACTTGCCTTTGATAAGAATATGTAACAAGAATAAATATGGAAAATATGGAAAAACATATGACACAAGAAATAAAAGCCAGATGAGCTACCAATCCTAAATCACATGTATTGTTAATAACAAGTGACTGCAACTAATTGTGTTACCTTTTCTTTTTCTTTTTCTCTCGTTTCTTCAGTTTCTCCAGGTCTTTCTTGGCCAGTTCGATGATGTCAGACGTTTCCTTCTCAGGAGCCAGCAGCGAAGAGGAGAAAGGGCCGGACCCTCCGTAGAACGACTGACGGTTGGAGGCACGAGACAGATTCTTCCTCAGATTCTCATTGACAGCTTCACTCTCCAGGAGTTTGGCTCTGAAGTTGAAGTCCAGGGACACAGACACTCACATCAGACTACGGATACACACTGTTCGTAGTTACAATGCTCTTACTTAACAGCCACGTTCACTGCAGCGATTTAACACACACTCATATTAAATGAAACCAACTTAAGTTGTACTTGATGAAACACGCACAGTATTAGAAGATATTAAAAACTATGAATGACTTGGCTCTGCAACTCTGCTGTTTAATGGTGTCTGAACGTAATTTGCTGTAGGTTGTTTTACATCTTTTGCAATTGAAGGTTCTTATGGAACAGTTGTGTCGTAGGAGCACAAATAAAGGTGTTGGTTTGAATGTAAATGATGAAGTGGATCAATAATCTGCTTCAGTTCTCAAACTCATGTCTGCACTGCCACTTTCCCGTCTCCAAAATGTTTGTATGCATGGGTCAGGTACAAGTGCACACATTCTACCATCAAGTGTTGTTCTTATAGATCCCAACATTTGTGTGAGAAGTGGCGTATGCATCTTTCAGGCCCTGTTTTGTGCTTACGCAATGGTTATAAATGAAACCCCTGGTGTTTACCTCAGTTCTTCAATCTCTTTGATGTAACTCTGAATCATCTTTCCAATTTCCTCTGTTCCTCCTTCACCTATGAGAGAAACAAAACTGTTTCTTATCGTAAAAACAACATATCGTCACTGAAGACAAAAGAATAAAAAATAACAATCTTGTAGACAGAGGCTGAATGTGCACTCTTACCCGCCCTGGCAAGGGTCTGGTTGGCCTGGTCACTGAGCAGCTGGGTGAGCCGTGCCCTCTGAGCATCAATGGTCTCCTGCATGGCCTTCACCCTCACCCTCAGGTTGCTGTTCTCTGTCTGCAGCATAGAGTTCTCATGGAACATATCGCTAAAGCTCTCCACACCTTCCTCACCCACCATGCGTTTACCCTGCAGGGGAAGGAGGAACATGTTTACAAATGGCGGCATTTATTTCAGGGCTTTTGCTACAAACAGCAATGGAGCAAATGGAGGAGTGGAGACAAACCATTAAAAAAATGATTCCGACACCTCTGACATCATATACTCTCTCCTCACCGTCTTGTACTCCATTAGCTCCATCTGCAGTCGAGCTATTTCTGTCCTCAGAGCGCTGATCTGCTGGCTGGCTTTGTCCTGGTTCACCATGACCTTGTTCTTGATGTTCCGGGCTCGGTTGGCATATTTTAATGTGTTCAGCGTCTCCATGAAGTCCCGGTCAGATGGGCTGCTGCACGCAATCATCACTGTTTGGCTTTGAGAAGCAGGTGGATAATCGTTATGCTTGGTCCAGAAGTGCTATTCTGAAAAAGGCTTCAATTCTTTCTGATGCTATTGCTAGAATTTAATGTCTTAATATAATGTGTATTTAGATTTAAACTTAATAAAGGTTATTTCTGATAACTGATACAATGCTGCCTGTTTTCTTTCTTGCTGAATAGTCTTGCAAACAGAAAGTATTATTTTATCTCCAATTAATCCCTGCATTTATATATTACGGCAACACGTTGTGTGTTTATATCTGATTATTGTGTTGTATTGTTTTGACAGTTTGCTGATTTCAAGTTGAAACCTTTTACTTTGAAAGACGTCTGTAGGCATGACAACATTACTAACAAGAAAATTACAGAGATAGTAAAAAGGTGAAATGACAGACCTGTTTCCTCCTAACGAGTCCTGTAGGAGCCGGGTGAGTTTGGAGTCTCTGTAAGGCACATGTGCGGATCGCTTGCCCCGGTCACCCAAAGCACTGATTACATTCCCCAGAGCGAGCTGCAGCAAAACAGCGGGGAGAAGAAGATGCAGCTGTTTACACATCAGGAATGTATATGAGTACCTGTGAATGTCTTTACAAATAAAATCCTATATAATGGTGGAAGATGATTTCTACATTCAGAATCTGGCTTAATGCAAAATCCCGAAGTCAAAAGCAATGGCTGGAAATTGTCCAAGACATTTTCATTATGGAAAAAAGGGGTGACATCACTTTTGAGAGTCAGAGAGAATGTGTTTAAAAAGAGCTGGAAACATTTGACAAAAAAATGTGTTAAACTGCTTATATTCTTGGGAAAACTTCCAAATTAAATGTATACTTTAAATACATGTTATTGCTAAATTAATTTAGTTTGTCACGTCTAAAATCAGATGATCCAAATACATAATTTCCAAACTCCAGGAATAAGGTGTTGTGCTTTTTGTTGGCGAAACAGAAAAACTGGATTATAAGATATGGATGATCCACTAACAACCTCAGTCTGTTGCACACTAGAGTTAAGAAATTCAGCCACTAGATGTCAGCACACTCTAGAATATCACATCATCAGTGCATCACTCAGGGATATTGTAAACCCTGCACAAGTGAGGTCGAGAAGAAAGAAACTCACCAGTCCACAGTTGATGGAGATGCCCTCTTTGGCTCGATCGCCGGTTGCTCCGGTTCTCTTAAGCCTCTCAGAACCCGCCAGATCCACAAAGTGAAACTTGGCTGTCAGCGTCTCGTACTCGTCCAGCTCAGAGTTTCCGTTGGAGACTCTGTTATCAGTCTCTTTTTCTTGCTGAGTGACAGAAACACACACAAACTCCAGTTGGGACATTATAGCAGCATAATATCAAAGGTGATTCCTGCGTCTTTGTCCCAACAATGGGTTTGTTTTTATTTTGTGAGGAATTACTCTGCAATATGAGGCACCAGCTACTTGGAAAATAGGATGTCTGCTCTAGAAAAGGACTGACTGTAAACTGTTGCGACAAATGTTTGAATTCACTTCTAATTCCTTTGGAGGCTGAAGTATTTTTCACATTTACATTTGTATTGAAAATACAGCTTTACGCTCTCTAGGGGAAAACTGAGTTCAACAGCATTAAACTACAGTAACCTAAATCAAGGTAAAGTCTTTTAAGGAACATTTTAAGAGCTGAAAACAATCTTGTAATTGAGTAAAGGTGCATTTTCTTGCTCTAAAATAAGCTGAAAATGGCTGATAAAACAATCCTTCAACATCTATGCTGCATATATTAATTTAACCTGCACATTTGCCTGCTCTAACAAAGAGCTGCACTCCATGGCGCTTGTTCAGATGTTGTTCAGTGTTATAGTGCACTAACATTGTCGGAGGCACAAACGCGGACTTGGCATAGGTGGATGGTGAAGATGGCGTGAGAACGAGAGCTCTGGACATTCATCTGAGTGCTGGCTGTGGTGCGAGACAGAGCACCCAGCTTCAGACACTGCATCATCTGAAGAGGCAGGCAAGGAGTTTTAAATGTTAATACAACAAATACTGTGCCTTTCATAAGAGAAAACATGAGCGCAGTAATGAATAATTAATTAATGTAAGGTTATTTGTAAAGGCCTCGAGCTGGCAAATAGATTCACAAGCAGAGTTAATCTATTAAGTGTATTTTCTAAATAATGCAAAAGATGTTTATACATTTTAACCAACTAGTTCTTGAAAAGGAAAATAGCAACATTGTGTGTAATAGCGAAAATGTTATGAACAAAAGCTTTTTAATTTTGCATTATGACTCAAGATACCCTGTCCTGGTCTTTAATTACTGATTCAAACACACACTGTCTCTCTCCTTTACCTCAGCCTCGGAGGACACGGTGCGTGTGGTCACTCCTACGGTGTAGATTCCTCCAGTGGCGTCTTCATGAATTTTGATGTGAGATTTCTGCTTGATGTCTCGTGCTGAGTCAAACAGGTCCAGAACTTCTTCATTATAAAGCTGTGTGTGGTGAGGGGCACATGAGACGTCAGTTTAAATCACTCAACCTTGAATCAAATTTATGACTAAATGTAAAAACCCAAATTAAGAAGCAAGACTCAAAACTGGAGCTTTATTCTGACAATTTAGGCGGTGTGTAAATTTGTGAAACTGAAATCATCACAATGCCACTTTGAGAGGGTTTACATTGAGAGCAATTGTCTACCGACAGTCATCACGATGTTAGCTCAACAGGCCCCGTCCCACGTTCAACACTAAAGGAGAGATACAGCTTGCCACGCAGAGATTATAATATTAGTGTCTATTATAATGTGGAAAAATATATGTATTAATTGTTTTTGGGGACTTCCCTCTCCGCCGATCAAAGGTAACTAGTAGTGGAGCTAGCAAAACCGAACTTTTTTACACCTGCGTGGAAGCAAACATGAAGGAGATGAGTTCCAGGTCAGGACATAAGGAATCTGTAAGGGACGAAGCTACGGTACTAGAACAAAACCTCCACCAATCAAAGGTGAATAGAATATTCTATTGTCATCCACTGCTAATAAAAAAGGTTTTTTTCTCTGTAATGCAGTTTAAGTAATTGTGCTTTTAATTTAAGTTTCAATGTCTTAGTTTTATGTGGGAAATATAAGAATGTAAGAAAAAAATGTCAACACGGGCTATCAGCACTTAATATTACCTCTTTAAGCCTCATGTGTGAAATGAAAAATCAAATAATGTTGTGCCTAGTGTGTGAATTCTGTGAATATCCAAAAATGTCTCCCCAAAACAAATCTTCCGCCTCCCTAGTTCCAGATCGAGGAATTCAAACCGTGCGACAGCCTGACGGAGCAGCACAACTGTCAACTCACATCATTCCTGTTAACTCTTCCTGTCTGGACTGAGACGCCCCCCCCCCAACACCTCCTAACCCCCCGATGACAGCTGCTGCAGTTCAATTGTCAGGGTGGATATTTTCGAGTGATGGAGCACCAGTGTCAGGGCTTGTTAAACGAACAGTGTCAACAATATAAGCCTGACCCATGACATCTCTGTAAAGCCTGTCCTCGTGCAAAGTGAGAGAAAGATAATCTGTTGTTTTTTCTATTTAGTTCATCATTTCTGGCTCAAAGCAGCAGGTAAAATAAGAAAACATTATTTATGATGCAGTAAGATGGATGTGGAACCTCGAGAAACTGGGCATTGATCTTAAACTCTGGTACAGGGCGTCCCTGATCCTGGGCAGCTTGTCGGCGCTCCTCGATGCCTTTGAATAGGTGGTGGACTGCGCGGGGGATGATGCCAAGCTCTTCCTCAACGATGTTGACATCAAAGCCCGTCCCCATGGTGTAGGTCTTCCCTGAACCCGTCTGTATGGAGAAATGAAAACATTCAAAAGTACTGTGTGAGAACTGTGTGAAAATACATTTGACAAAGGGGCACCAAAGATTTAAAATGACCTTCCTGGGATCAGGATACCAACTTCACTTCAGCTTTTAAAATCCCAAAAGAATTTCTTGGAAACGTACTTAAACTCATCATTCAGTTAATTGAATGATTATGCTAACTTGGTTTTAATATTAACCCATTACAAATGTATCACCCTTTTTTCTATTATAACTATCACATGTGGCTGATCTCAATTCACTTCTCAACAAAATTACAAATAGTCAATGAAGGAAATCTGATATTTATCATTCAAGATTTTTATCATTAAATTAATAATTGTTTAATTTTATCTGTCATCTACTTTTTCAACAGTTTTTCACTTACACACCTACATTTCCCAGACTTCCTTTTAATACCACATATAACAAGGGCATGAGTAAAGTGGGGAGCTACATATGCAGATGGAGAATTATTTTTTTTAAAGACAAAATAAGTGATGAACACTACATGAGGCTCAAATAAGGCTACTGACAGCAGAGTTGTTGGAAAATGTTCCTCCTTAATTCCTTTCTCGCCATTTGATTTGAAAATGTCTTGATTATATTTGAGAAAGTTGAGGAGACATGTTATGACAAAAACAAGAATTAATTTTTTATATCTTTCTTAAAATGAACTCAACCCGGGCTTTGATCCTCTGATTAGATTTTTCTCTCTCCCGTCCACATCATTACATTCTGCTATCAAACTGGGTTAAGTTCTTGTGCTGAAGCCGAGTGGGTCGGTCTAAATCTAGATTAGTCCCTGTAAAACCACAGAGGCAAACGAGTCTGATCCAGGCCAAAGCATCAGAAGTAGGACAACAGTGATAGAGGCAGGAACACGGGAAATGTGGATTCATATGGACACACATTAAAGATGCATAGCTCTTTAAAAGGTGTGTGTGGTTGTCTCTTTGTATCGTGCCAGTGCCATGCAGCAGAAGCTCCATCACCACGGCAACCTGAGCAGCGAGGAGGAGGGATGGAGGGGAGGGTTAAGAGGACCAATCATGCACGCAATGAACTCAGTGGAAATAAAGATGGTGCGTGAAGTGGGAGAATGAAAGGAGAAGGGCTGCGATGAGTGATTCACTGCAGTGTGCAATTATCTGCAGATTATTTCTCTATCTTTTATTACCCAAGATTTACTTTCATCACAACATAAAAATATATAACCTGTACATTTTTTATACATCTTACAATAGTAGGCTCACTCCAATTAATACTATCGATACCACAGGTAAATCCTGGAGTGTTCTTTGATGTGCGGCGGCACTAATGAGTCGGTGTGCGTGCAGGGAAACAGACGTTTCTCTGGGGACACATGAACGTTGGAGGATTATGAGGCCTGAGCTCCTTGCTGACCTTGCCCATGATCACTAGATAAAGAAATAAAGAAACTGAATCCTGCAGAGCAAACTGGGAGACTCAGACACATGAACCAGGGTTGAGTACTGATAATACCCAGAATCATACTTCGAATAATTTTAATTTGTTACCTTCACCAAGGAGGTTATGATGTAATCTGTGTTTGTCTGTTCTTTAGCAGGAATACATAAAAAACTATTGGATGGATTATCAAAAAACTTGGTGGAAGGACACGGTCAGGGAAGAAAATATTACATTTTTGTGTGGATCTGGAACGGGGGCAGATCCAGTATTTCTTTCAATTTCTTTAACATCGTTAGATAAGACATTTTTTTAACTCTCTCTCTCAGAGTATAATTCAAATAACAGTTAATCTTGATAAGAAAAAATCCAGTTATGCTCAGGGGACTGATATTTTTGGGATGCGGGTTGGGTGGGGTCTGCCTATTCGCTTACTTGCTGAGAGTTGAGATGGGACTCTCATGTCTGTATAGTGAGTTTAACATAGTCAATGAAAACAGATGGAAAACAACAAACCTGGCCTCATCCAAATGTCAACAATACTTCTAAACCTCAACAACTAATGTGATAAATAGCTTGTTTGTTTAATTACTACATTAATAAAAAACACTGGCAGACTTTTTTACATGTAAAGAGATAGTCAGGGCAGCTGTTGCCATGTGTTTCCAGCTTTTATGCTGAGCTATGTAAACATTCTCCTTGCTATAGCTTGGTATTTGAGTATACAGACATGAGGGTGCATTGATCTTCTCCTCTCACTCACTGTAAGAAAGCAAGTGTATTTCTCTAAATGTTAAACTATTCCTTTAAAAATATGGTTGGACAAATACAAGGTCACAGGCGTTCAAACATTCCACAACAGTCTCCTCGAGTCTCCTTTTACCAAAATGCCAACACTCCATCTCTTCAGCCCCCCTTCTCTTTCAAACACACCCATGCAGAGAGACGAGTTCTCTTCATCCACACAGCTATAAAGCAGCGTCAGCGCTGCAGCTGAGACAGACAGGACAAAGACTTGCCTGTCCGTATGCGAAGACGGTGGCGTTGTAACCTTCGAAGCAGCCATCGATGAGCTTCTCTGTGCATGAAGTGTAGATGGCTTCCTGTTGGGAGTCCATGTCGAACACATAGTCGTAGGTGAAGGCCTTATCCTTCCCCAGGATCACCTGAGGCTCCCCGGGCATCACATACGTACAGATGTGACATCCCTCGATCTTCTCTCTGGCCAGCTGCGGACGAATCCTGTGGCAAAGAGGGGAACAAGGGGACATGAAGAGGCTTTTGGCAAAAATGTCAAACAGTTACTAATATTAGAAATAAAGAAGTACATAAATAACTGCACTTATAAAATGAAGGAAAACAAATGAAAAATCTTAAACATTTCATCAATATGATTCATGTTCAGTTCAGTTTACATCTGATACAAATCAGGATTTCAGTCAGGTATAGACTCAGCATGTGTTTGCAAATACACAATTACTGCATAATAATTTAACAATTAAAGGTTCAGTGTGTAGAATTCAGTGACATCTAGAGGTGAAGCTGCATGTTGCAGCTGAATACTCCTCATCTCACCTCATTATTATCAAACTACGAAACACTAGATCAGTATCAGAACTCTTGAATTATTTGTATCAGACATTTACTCTTCCATGGTACAGTGTTAGATTACAATCAGTCAGTAATCTCAAGAAGACAGACAAAAACAAACGCCACAGTATTCAATGCAAAATACATAATCAACAAAGCCTTTTATATTTATACAAAAAAAGGATTTTAAAACAGAGGTTTATCATATTAATGTGGTAGGGCCTCTTTATGGCCATTGAGGATTTACAAAAAGCCACACCAAAATATTCATATGCCACAAGAGTTAAACTGTCTACAGACCTACAGACGGGTCTTACAACAAGCTGGAGACTACTTATCCAACCCATTTACACTGCAGAGTGTGGTTTGGAGCATTTAAACAGTATATCCCTTCACCTATTTATTTTCAAGGACATATAATCACTGGATCCACAGTTACTCTAGCTGCTGACAAGTTGCTGTAGCTGCTGTGGGGATCAAACCTGAGTCAATCTTTGCATGATGGTAAATAAGTTATCAGCACATTTCCAGGAGCCGCTTCATGAAGCAGTTTTATAGATGCAAATGTTGGCAGGCAGCCATTAGCTACAATCAACAAACTTAATTCACATGCAAATTATAAAACTGTCAATGTGCCTTCTCTTCTTCAGTATTTTCACTGTGCTACACTGCATTATTTACATAATGCACAAAATGTTTTGCAGATTTTCAGTTGCAGATGTGTTTTAATGTAGAACAATAGTGACCAGGTCAACATCAGAGTCTGACCCAAAACTTAATCCCATAAAAGCTGCCAGCTGGATTAATATGTAAGGCTGTATGCTTAAACGTCTGTCTGTCTGTCTGTCTGTCTGTCTGTCTGACTGACTGACAGAGCTGAAATACTGAATGTTAGTGCTGCTGAAATCTGCCAGGGATTAACTGGTTTAATGTGGAAGTAAGAGAGGGAGAAGGGAGAGAGAGAGAGAGAGAGTTCCTCTCTTTTCGTGTGTGTGTGTGTGTGTGTGTGTGTTTGTGTGTGTGTGTGTCAATACAAACGTAAGCACTTTTTGAATGTCAGCCTGGAGGTTATATAACTGAAACAACCTTCAATAGAAGGTATATTTGCTGTACATTAAAAACATCCTGGATAATCCTGGTTACCTGCAGTAGGGGATGAAAGTGTCCAACATCGTAAAACCACATTTTGAGACTTGCAGATTCAAAACAAATCCTCTCCAAAATGTGGTGAAAATAAAGATAAAGTAAAAGTAAACATGACAACATTTATATCTCAATGATTTATTATTGGTTTTTATTCGGTTTTTTGGTTTGTGGATGAAGAAGATATTTGAAGAGGCCATCTTTGACTCAATAAACAATTTTCTGGCCCTAACAACTCATATCTATAAGAAGAAATTGAAAGATTAATTGATAATGGAAATAAAATCATTCATTGCAGCCCAACTATACCACAGTTTCATCTAACTAGAATTTATTCAGAGTTGGACTATTGAGTCAACTGAACCATAACCACAAGCACCAGTGCCACTTGAAAATATGTCCGACCTTTCCTTCATTTTTTTTAAACCATCAGTGAGTGACATCAGGCTCTTGTCAAAAGAAAAGTGGGACAATTCTGTTTGCTCAGCAACTACTGATTCATTTTTCAGAAGAAAGGATCAGTCAGACTCTTCTTTACCGCTACAGACCTACAGTTCTAACTTATCGTCCAACATATATGGCACACACATTTCACATGGCAGAGATTTTACAAAAAAAAAGAACACGATGTACTGATTGTATTGCTCTCAGAGTGACCCAACATTTGCTGGGAAAACTTCCATTTTAACTCCCAAACCTCAATCACCTGCAAAGTACAAGCATCAACTGTGCAACGACAGATGCACTGATGGAACAAACCCTCTACCAACAGCATTCAGAAGGCAGGAATCTATTATCAGACTGAAGGAGTAGGAGGCTGAAGTGAAAATACAAATCAAGACATTTATTGAACCAGTACATCAAACTAATTTGTCAGTGCCATCAGACATTGAGTATGAGTCAGAAATAATAAGAGCCCAAAGAGTCTTTTTCCAAAAAGATCTGCAGGGACCTAAACATTAGTTTGATGTATAGGTTTTTATTGCCTGAATCTGCAGCTTTTCTCCACTTTACAGCCTCACAGTGACTTTCAGCCTCAGGTCGTTGTTTATTTCTCCAACCCACATGCAACACAGCAGCAAATAATAATAAAAGATTATTTCAGCATCTACGCTGTCCTCACTCAGTGGTTAACTGTGAGCAAGCAGGCCAGGCGTTCAGGAGACGTCACTCTGTCACTTTAAACAAACTCTCTTCATGGGTTCAGCTCACAATCAAGCTTGGAAGAAAAGCACCTGACAGCAGGACTGCCAGTCTCTCTGCCTCCAGTGGATAAAGGCCTCATTGTGCCCCCAAAGATCAGGGGAGAACAATACTGAGAGCCAAGTACAGTGGGGCCATTGTGTCCCTCTCTGTGACACTGGATCCCAGCGCTGACACCAACGCCACGGCTGCAGGATTGCATGGCTGGACGGAGGCGAGGGAGGAGAGGTAATGTCCTGCGTGGAGGTCATGACATGCCGGTGAATAACTGTGAATAATGGTCACTGAGTGAAGTCGAGGATGAAAGAAACAACCTTAAAATGCAAACTATTCTTCAATCTGCTGCCGCTTGTGTTTGGAAGATGCAAAGCCTCAGCTTGCTTGTAAAGATGTACAGAGAGATGCAGCATGTTTTTGTCTTGTAAATGATCATGAGGCATGAACGATACATTCTGCACCAAGTTATATAATTTTGACTGTCAAAAAGATTTAACTGATCAAATTTGACAGCAGGATATAGTCTCGTAGTAAAAATATAAACATGTGAGCATAGTAAAATTAGTGAGAAAGTACAATTGAGTAACTGAGGATAATTCTGCTGCAACATGCAACTTCACCACTAGATATCACTAAATTCTACACACTGAACCTTTAACCAATTATGGTTTCTTGGCCTGTTAGAATGTTCTAGAAATCTAATCCTTTCCACAAACCACGAGGGGGGTCTTTGTTTCAGACCATTTAACGCACTAATTGGGTGTGTAATCCTGTCTGTTTCAACACGCTCCCACACACACGCATACCCAGAAATCCAAAGTATACTCCCTTTTCACTTTTTAAAGACTTTTTATTGTACTCTCAGGATATGATGCAGATCAGTTTCTTATTAAAGCAAACACTGACGCTTATACTATTGAGTTCCACTATCCACTTCCCTTTCTGAGATAATCCTCTTTGAAAACATACTATTAGAAACAAGCTTTACAGAAATATAGAGCTCTCACAAGTATTGGGTTTTAACATGTTGATTTGTTAGTGTTTAAATTCAAATGTTTGCTGTCCAAATAAACGACATTATTTCCAGCTACAAGATTTATTCAGTTGATCCCTGCCGAGCAGCGAACACCAGCGAACAGCCGTCTGCAAATATCAACCTTTCTTGTCAACACTAACAGTGCAGATAATTAGTGAGCACACACTCAGCTTCTGTTCTGTCTGTGATCATTGAGCTCTGTAGTTAGTTACAGCATCTGCAGCTGACAGTTCTTATGCATGAGACAGCGTTATAATAAATATCCATAATAATAATCCTGTTGTGAGTGGTATGTTTTATTTTCTTGCTCAAATAAAGATTAAAGATTCATGTGTCGTGTTTTGGTCGTAAAAAATAAATACTTGGTTTACATGATTATAATATTTGAGGACACAGTGTTGCTCATTTGAAAGCAGAAGTAATTTCAGGATAAATTCTGAGAGGTTCTTTATACAACATAATCCCATATTTATTTTATGTAACTGAATCATTAAGAATCAAATTGAAAAGAGACACTACCAGATTTTTAGGATATTTCTGCTTCTTTATTAACACTTGATTATCTTCTTGCGCACACTCAAACCTGCCCCAGTGTTAAAACCACCTCCTCACTGCACTCAATGCTGCACATGACTGAGAGGTAGGTGTGAAGGATACAGAGGTGTGAGTCTGTGATATGCTTTTACGTTCACTCGAGGCTACACATCTTACTCAGCTGATACGTAGAGGTGATGTAGGAGGGCTGGGGGATATGTAAAAAAAAACATATCACATTAATTTTTTATCACATCAGTCAATATCCGTTATAATTATTCAGCGGTGGAAAACCTGCTGAAGCTATGAACGTAGGGGAAAACATTATAATGTTCAGTCCTTGATGCAGAGTCGTCCACCTCTATGCAGGAGCCCAAACTTGAGCACATGTGCTGCTGCCCCTCCGCTCTGTGCTGTGTACGTCAACCTAGCCTGATGTGGGTGTAACTCTATTCCAGCCACATGATTGGTTCGGTGCAGGGCTATTCTCATTGGCTTTTTGGTAGTCTGTCAAAAGTCCTATCGCTGTTATATATCAACATGTCTCAAATTTCTATCAAGGAAAATTATATTGCAATAAGTATCGATATAATTTTATCACCCAGCCTTAATCCGAAGCAATGATTAATAATCAGTATACTTGTATCCTTGTCATATTTGGTGAACTTGATTTCCATCACAACGTCAAACAATGGATGTGCATGGAATTTCAGCAAGGAACAAATATTATGAAAATTCT